GGACTTGCAGGCTGGGCCGACGGGAATCGTTGAGCGTGCTATTAAGCACACAATCGAGATCATTCCCGAAAGCAAGATTCCCAAGGGTCCCATTTATCAAATGTCTCCCAGGGAATTTGAGGACCTGCGTAAGCAACTGCAAGAACTTACTTACAAAGGATGGATTCACCCCACCTCATCTCCTTATGGTGCGCCTATCTTATTCGTACCCAAAAAGGAAGGTGGACTCCGTCAATGTATAGATTATCGTGGGCTGAACTCCATCACTGTTAAAAATGCGGAGCCTCTTCCGCGCATTGACGATCTATTGGATCAGTTGTAAGGATGCAGGTACTTCAACAAGATTGATCTCAAGTCAGGGTACCACCAGATCGAGGTGGCTCTTAAAGATCAGCGCAAGACGACATTCCGAATGAGGTATGGTCACTACGAGTTCGTGGTTATGCCTTCGGTTTGACCAATACGCCTGCAACATTCCAAGGTCAATGAACAAATTGTTCTGACAATGGCTTGATCAATTCGTAGTAGTCTATCTGAACGATATTCTAGTGTACAATAAGACACTAGAAGATCACGTGAAACACCTACGAATGGTTTTCCAGAAGTTGCGCGAGGGCAAGTTCAAACTGAATCCGAAGAAGTCTGAGTTTGCTAAGCCTAAAGTCTTATACTTAGGGCATATAGTGAACAAGGAAGGACTAAGGCCTGAATGAAAGAAGATTACAACAATCAGAGACTGGCTACAACCTAAGACTATAACTGAACTAACATCTTTTCTAGGACTTGTTAACTACTACAGAAAGTTCGTCAGAAACTTCTCTCTAATAGCTGCTCCTATGAGAAGGCAACTGAAGAAAGAAAAACCTTGGTTGTGGGATAAAGGTTGTGAGTCATTGTTTAAGAAGTTAAAGCATGTTCTGACTCACTGTCCTGTGTTAAAGATTGTTGACCTTTCTCTTCCTTTCATCGTCACCACTGACACAAGTCGGTATGGGATTGGGGTTGTGCTACAGCAAGACGACGGTAAGGGATATAAACCTATTGAGTTTATGTCCAGAAGACTTCCGTCAGAGAATGTGGCCAACTCCACCTATGAAAGGGAATTGTATGCCTAAGTTGATGTACTAAATACCTGGAAGCATTATTTGTTAGGGAGGCATTTCACTGTCTACTCTGATCACTCTACTTTGAAGTGGATCAAGACTCAGCCTAAGCTCTCTGAGAAATTGGTAAGGGATATAAACCTATTGAGTTTATGTCTAGAAGACTTTCGTCAGAGAAAGTGGCCAACTCCACCTATGAAAGGGAATTGTATGCCGAAGTTGATGCACTAAATACCTGGAAGCATTACTTGTTAGGGAGGCATTTCACTGTCTACTCTGATCACTTTACTTTGAAGTGGATCAAGACTCAGCCTAAGCTCTCCGAGAAATTGGTAAGGTGGTCCGCTTTCCTTGACACATTTCACTTTGAGGTGAAAACCATCAAAGGTATGTCTAACGTGGTTGCGAATGCTTTATCCAGACGTGCAGATTTCTTTGGAACCATTGTCTCCTATCTCGATATCGAAAATGAACTAAAAGAACAGATCCGCCAGGGATATGGGAGTGATCCTATTTGGAGTCCTATCATTGCAACTCTATGAAAGAACCCTGAGTCGTTTTCGGAATATCGAATGACTGATGGCTTACTCTTCTTGCTGGATAAAACCAAAGGAAGATTGTGTGTTCCTCACCTAGAACTAATCAAGAGTTCAATCATTGGGGAATGCCATGATGCGAAAGGTATGCCGATGTGCGTGAACGTTTTGAGTGGAAAGGAACAAATCCTCACATGAGAATGTGCGGACTTGTCTTGTCTGTCAAAGGAAAAAGCCTTCACATGAGAATCCGATGGGACTATTGCGAGCACTGCCTATTCCAAATGAGCCAGGTGAGTCTATTTCTATTCACTTTATGAGCCTCACTAAGAGTCGAAACGATAACAGTCAGGTAATGGTCATCGTCGATAAATTCTCTAAGTATGCTATCGTCATTCCTTTGCCTGCTAGAACCGAACTTGTCATTCAAAAGTTCAAATGTGATGGGTCTCTGAGTATGGATTTCCCAAAACCATCATATCAGACAGAGATGTTTGGTTCACCAGTCTACAATTGCAGAAGTTTATGGAAGTCTATGGAACCAGGTTGACCATGTCGTCAGGCAGACATCCTGAAACGAATGGCCAAATTGAGCAAATGAATCGTCTTTGCCAACAACTTCTGGGAATGTATGTCCGATCTGACCAAATTGATTGGGATAAAAACTTGCCTAAAATTGCTAGTGCCTACAATAATAGTATACATACTGTTACAGGAAGAACGCCTAACGCACTACATAAAGGATGGAAGCCTAGGCGTCTCATTGATGCATTAACACGAGACCAGGTTCAAAGGCTACCCTCAGGTACGCGAGAGTTCGTAGTTTTTTACGAAGAAGACATCAAAAAGGTTAAGGAAAACATACAGAAAGCCCAAGAGTTCGTAGTTTTTTACGAAGAAGACATCAAAAAGGTTAAGGAAAACATACAGAAAGCCCAACTACAAATGATTGAACAAGCTAATAGACATCGCCGACCTTCACAATTCCAAGTAGGGGACTTTGTCTTGGTTAAGTCTAAAGAGTTTTCCTTAGAAGAAAATGTGTCTCAAAAACTGCTACCTGTCTACTACGGCCCTTGGGAAGTTCTCAAAGTAATTGGAGGTGAAAATGGACCTTCCTATCGTATAGATGTACCTCAACATCTAAGGTTATACCCTGTCTTCCATTCGTCTAAGCTGCTACCCTATGTAGAAAGTGATAACTTTCCAAATAGGCCATCTATGTTTCCACACTATGAATGGAGGTTATGAAGTTGAAAGGATATTGGAGCATGGCTATTTTTCTACAGGTGGCAGAGGACGACCTCAGAAGCAGTACAAGGTAACGTTCAAGTCCCAACCTTCATCTGAAGCCAGATGGTTTAGTAGGAAAGAACTCCTACTCGCTGCTCCTGACATTGTTGCTGCATATGAACGTGGGTTAAGTGAGAATTAATGCATTTTCTGCGATGGAACTCGAAAACTGGGCCGGCAGGAATGCAATAACCCATGCCATATGTCTTGTGGAAAGACTGAGGGCCAACTTGGCCGCCCTCAGCCCAGGCCGAAACGGGGGCAAAAAGGACCCCACACGAGGACTCAGGGCCTGGATGTGCGACAGTTGACTTTGGTCAAATGTCGTGACCCCAGCAGTCAAAGTCCAAAGGTACCCAGCCCAGGCCGCTGGTCAAGCACACACACTTGTTTGTATGCAGGTACGCAGACAGCATCAGGTCCAAGGGAGAAGTCTGCAACTGTACAATCAGGGCCCTCAGCTGTGAGTCAATCTGGACGACTGTGGGAAAAGCACCTGAGGCCAGACAACCGCGACAACTGCTACTTAAGGCTGGCCTCGAGTGAGTCAAGCATTCAGGCTTGCCATGCTGCTTTGACGCTGGCTCGACTTTGACAAGACGCTGGCTAGGACGCTGACTGTGCATAGGCGTTGCGGACGACGGCATGAGGTGGAGGCAGCAGGCTGGCGCTTCTTGTTCTGTGCGCCAGGCATGCTGATGTGGCGCTGCCGCTGGTCTACATTGCATGCTGATGTGGTGCTGCCTCTGGTTTACATTGCATGCTGATGTGGCGCTGCCTCTGGTCTACAGTACATGCTGATGTGGCGCTGCCTCTGGTCTATGAGACACTGCTACTAGTCTACATTNATGTGGCGCTGCCTCTGGTCTACAGTACATGCTGATGTGGCGCTGCCTCTGGTCTATGAGACACTGCTACTAGTCTACATTGCTGATGTGGCGCGGGCCACTGTTCTTCATTGATGATGTGGCGTATGCCACCTGTCTCAGCTGCTGATGTGGCATTGCCCACGCTGTCTACATGAGGTGACTGGTTGCGAGGAGGAGGAAGATCGGGATCCGTGGATGAGGGAGGTTGGATGCTCACCTGAGGTTGACGTCGTTACTGAAATCTGCTGTGTCTTCATGGTCTTCATGTGATAAGAGTGTCACGTGGCACTATTGTGTGTGATCAGGATTACTAGTTATCATCTACTGGTTGTTGACATGGAGAGGGAAGTAGCCCGGAGAAGGAGATGGGTTTGACGGGATTACTCTTGTGTGATCTTTTATCATCTCTTCCACCTTCTCCTCTGTCTGATCCCCCTCCAATCTCTTCGTCTAATAGTAATAAGATACTGTTTGAGATATCACTTCACGATTTGGAGACTTTGTTGCAGGTACTGAGACTACTGAGTATCTACCAGACTGGGTTCATTACTCCTTGCTTTGCGACTGCAAAACCTTTCTCAGCTTGAATAGGGTACCGATTTTCCACCTCCTTGACATCGCCCACTGGTTTGAAGAGCATGACAGTGTTCATTAGAGCATGAAAGTGTTTGTAGAACATGGAAGTGTTTATAGAACATGGAAGTGTTCATTGAATCATTAGAGCTTCGAAGTGTTCATTAGCTTCTGAACAACAGCTCCATGTGACCAACTGCTCAACATGAAGTGCGCTTTCCTAGCTGTCTAACGGGCTTAGCCGCGAGGGCACAATAGACCAGAAAATACAATGCAGATCTAACGGGCTAGCCGCGAGGGCACAATAGACCAGAAAATACAATGCAGATCTCTGTCATTGAATTTTGATAGAACTGAGGCATACTTGATGTGCACGACGTGTGCTTTGTGCTCACCTCGCTGATGCACAGCACAAGGTGTGAGTTTGCATTCCTTGTTTTTGATGTGCTGCGTCAGTTTCAACAGAACACAACACAGCGCCTTGTGCACTGAATAGATGTGCTGCGAAGATATGCAGTGAAATTGTACATGTCGCAATCTTGAATGAAGCGTTCCCAAGTCCTTCATATGCTGAGTTGTTTTTCCCATTTTTTCTTGTCGGTTGTCGATGGTATAATTCTTGGCAGGGAGATGTGGGATGTGGCAAGACAGTCGTTGCATTCCTTGCACTGCTTGAAGTCATTTCTGCCGGTTTTCAGGTACAGCTCTCTCTCTCTCTCTCTCTCTCTCTCTCTCTCTCTCTCTCTCTCTCTCTCTCTCTCTCTCTCTCTCTCTCTCTCT